TTAATGAATTGCAAAACCATGTACATGAAGCGGTAGTAATACACCTTAGAGAATATTCTCATCTTGACGCTTGAGAAGGCTTGCATACAAAACTACTCCTCAGAATGAAAACACAACTCTGACTTTTCAAGAAAAAAATGTAGCTCACAGGACTGAATGTTTCATTCTGGCCAAGATGACCCTCTACAAGCAGAAGAGCCATGGCCAAGTTCTACCCTCTCACCCTAGTGCACCAATGGAGAGCTTTAGGGATGCCCGATGTGCCAGCCCCTCTGGTTGGCCTGGTGCTTTGTGATCACCTGGGCAGACAAACACTCAAGCCAAATGTTTTTGGGTACCCCTCAAATCAAACAAACCCCTGTCCTGGTCTGTGTCCTCCCAGGAGAGCCTTCCATCAAGAAATCCCCATTCGTCTGACTAGCTCAGCTTTCTACTAGCTTTGATCCTACCAAGTGGCTCAAAGCAATAAGGCAAAAGCAAGATATGCCTCTCAGTCTTTTGTATATACTCAGCCAGGTTCCTATCTCAGTTTGATTAATGTAAACGCAAGGAAACCCAATGAGGATAGGGCCATGGGCTGGAAAACAATATTTTCCAGTTCTTCTCAATATTAAGCACAGCTGGTGTTTAAATAAACAAGAATAACAACACTGCCCTGAAAAAATATTCAGCTCCTGTAAGTTGGTGCAGCTTCACTGAAGTCTACTGAGCTATACTAATTCAAATCAGCTGCACACTTCCTCGTTACAGCCCAGCTATTTTCTGCTTGCTCCCCTGGGGCTCAGCCAGGCTCTATATGAACACAATAGATATTTTTTTCCCCCCAAAAATGAGCATCAACCAATTTTCTCTTAAGTCACATAACTTCATACTGCACACTGCCAAAATGACTAAAAGAAAAGTTTAAAAGTAACTGTCTTTTTTGATAATACATCAACAAATTGGGTTTCTTAGAAAAMTCAGAGCAGTCATTTGGTTTTTTTGCCATTAATAATTTTAATACAGCTTAAAAATGCTTTTAAAAGTATTTTCTACAGAAAGTAGATCTCAGATATATATGAAATACTCAGTAACAGGGAAAAGGAAACACTAACACAGGATATGGAAGACCATACGAAACGTTGTGGGATGGCTGAATTTAGTCTGGAATTAAAATGAACAATATACTAGTAAAGTTATGATAAAAATATTAAGAAACTGAATGCATATAACTAACTGATCTTGAAAGCAGAAGTTGTTCTATGTACAAATATTGAGGYTTCAGAAGAGAGAAAAGACCAAGATCTCTGTCATAACGATGTAGGACACTACATCGATTTTCATGGAATCCCAAAAGTTGCAGGTCGGTTTTTCAAGGACAGTAAAGATCATATTTAGATGAAAATGAACTTCAGGATATTCTTTTTCCTCAGGAAAATTTAACTTTAATGTTTTCAAAACACATATAGCATATAATCAGAAAGAGGGGCTGGGTTTTGCAATGGTTTTGCAAGTTTCAGGAGGAAAAGATAAATTTTAACTAGCACAGACACATCTGTTTTTGCTACTGCATTGCCTCATGAAAATTAAACCTTCTAAGAAGTCAAGGAGGGCCATCTATCTGGTTTAAGACGATATTGTACACACAGTCTATCTTGACTTGCAAAGTCAAACATCCACAAGTTAATAAACATAAGAATTAGACTTGTGTTTTTTCAACTTAGGTCTCCTTGCTTATATGCAGAAATGCTTTGTTGATAGCCTGCTTTCCACGTTATTTGGTGCACTAGGAGAGCATTGCTCACTGTTCACAAGGCTCATCACAGCAATATGAAAGTATTTAAGTATTGAAAATATTTGAGCCTGAAAGGCTTGTACCTGCTGCAAATGGTTTTGCATTAACAAAATGTCAGCCAATTCAAATGGGAGCATGATTAGTCACATCAAACTCTGCTTGGAAGTCTACAAAATATTGTGGTTTACAAACTCTGCTTGTAATAGCAATAAGTGGTCAGCAGAGAAGGACAAACTCGGGTGTTAGTAAAGTCCCTTGCAAATCCATTACAACTTACTACTCCCGAGTTACAGGCACACAGCTGAGCAGCCTTAGTAGACCTAGAGACAGAGAATACCTAAAAAAAAGAATTAACAGCTTGCGAGATGACTAAAAATTATTGTTGTTCTTAAGCAGTTCTAACCAGCAGCATTTCTTTATGCATTTTTTTTTTTTTTTTTTGGTACTGACCTTACAAGAGCATTGTCCTGAGCAAACAGACTGCAAAGCCAAGGTTGGTAACTGCAGTACTATGAACTCACCAAGCAGAATGCTACCCTTGGTTGAAATAAATTGAGTAGTTTCATGTATAATCAAGATCAGGAAAAATATATTTTAAAATAAATATACATATATATTTATTGACTTATAATGTTAAATTGCTTAAATTTTGTAAGTATTCTGTAGACAGTAGGAACAAAAATTGTTTAAAGCTGTTTGGTATGTGCTGAGATGCTTACTAAATGAAAATAAAAAGCATTCCCATTTCATCAGCATACAAAGGTAAATATATTCCATGCTCACTCCTTAATGATTTGGCAGTTTTTGCAAATTAATTAGCAACCTGGGGGTTTATAAGGCAGGATAAGAAAGCAGATCAGTGTCTGATACTCATTTCTCAATAGTTTGTTTAAAAATAAAAATGTATTTTATTATGATGGAAGTAAACAACCAAACSCTACTTATCCATCTGTTTCTGAACTCTGGGGAATTTTGCTTTGGCTATCCTGCTTTGAGCTCCTCCCTAGATATTCTGTTTGGTCCACATTTCTTCAGAACTGGAGTTTACAGCATTAATTTTGGTTTCATTATCATAATTTTGAATATTACAGAGTATCCCCATGGAAAGCCAGACCCTCTAAAATTCTTCAGACTTGCAGCAATTGCTAAAAACCCGAGAAATTAGGGTTGCAACTCATGATCAGAAAAAATACCACACCAGCATTTGCTTCTGGAGAAAGAAGGAAGAGATAAAGTCAGGTTCCAGAAATGTCCATATTAGATGATATTATGGAAAGCCCTTACATACTAGAAGAGATTATGGAATCATTTGCTTAGGTGAACTGTCATTATTAAACATTTTACATTATGACTATATGTGATGCGACTTATTTGTTTATTTGCTTGCAAAACCAATCAAGATGCTAGTGTTAATTTGAGGAATCTAGGCAGAAACTTGCAGTCAGTGTTCTTGGCACTGAACCCTCAAACTTGGCACATTCTCCGGGCTAAATTCATTAATCTCCTCTTTGCAGAGCCAAAGCTATCCCTTCCTCCGAATTTTGCATGGATTGGAGTTGGACTGCAGGCAAAGTCATGACAGCTGATGGTAGTTAAGCTACCTTATTGCACTTGTTAATACAGAGTCAAGGAATATCTCCTCTCATAACCAGTAGTTGATATTTTGCCCTAATGCTTTTTATTATGTCCAAACACTCATAGAATTAGGTAATATATTTTTCATTCTTGGCAAGTAAAGAAGGAGGAGATAGTTTCTACTTTAATTTCTTCTTTAAAAGGACTAAAAGTTCAAAGTATTTTTAAAATTAAATGTGATTTCAAATTGTGTCAACAGCTCATTTATTTTATTCCTCCTACATTCGCCTGTTTGTCTTCATCATTACACTTCATCAAAATGCTGTTCCACTGTTTCAACTTGGGGGCTCTTTTTAGACTGACTAGTGTTGTCACACCCAGTTTCTCTGAAAAATCAGTCCATAAGGCTCTGAACCTTTCATTACTTTTACTTTTTCTGCTATTCTTATCTGTAAAGCCTGTACCACAACAATGATTCTGCCTGTCCCTTTTTAGATGCTGTGCCATATGTCAGTGCTGTGGTTCCGAGGTGTTTTTAAGGTTGGATGCTACAGCTAAAGATTTTCACATGTGTTTGTTCACAGCAGCAGCTGGTTCAAGAGGTACTGTCAAGTTGGGCAGCTACAGGTAATTTAGYCTTTAACAGAAGCAACTGTGACACACAGGTATGTCCCAACTGTTTCCCTGTGAAATTTGCTGTTACTTCTCCTATTTGCCCCTTTTCCACACACCCTCCTACCTGCCTCCATGAGAAATTATGATCACCTTTTTGTTAGGCAAAAAGAAACAACACAGTATTCAGGAGAGCCACATGGCCTGGAAATGGAAGCTATTAAGTGGAATGGCAAAGCCCAAAGCAACACTTCATTTATGAGATCTTTTCAATGATACACTGTCTGCACCAAGCCAAAATAGAAATCTCATTTTACTAGGTTTTACAAGTACTTCAGTATTGCTGTGAAGAGCATCCTATTCAGGAGTGCAGATTTCATTGCGTTGTTTCATTTGATTCAGTTTGCCTTTGAAATAAGACAATGTTGTCAACATGTACCTTTATCTCAAATTCGTCAGTGATTTTACTGCCTTGAAGCTTTATAAAAAGCTGTTAACTCTAAGAGGAGTGGAGGGCAGTGTCAGGCAATAATAGTTTGGATTCACTTTCTGTCTCTAACACAAAAATTTTATGCTATATTCAAGCATCTTTGTCTTGGCTTTCCAGCTGTGAAACAAAGCACATTTTTGTGTTTGCCACAACATTCCACTGTGGGGCTTTACGAAGTCAGACCTTGTTTTTTTATTTCTTACCTTAAATACCATTTCTGCCACTGGTCCCATTAGCTCCAGTGGAAACTCTCAAATGGACTTCTATTGCTCTGTGAAAAAGACACACAAACTTTATCTAAAGATACAAAACTGTCCTTCCCCTTCAACAGAGGGTATCTGTTTTTAATGGGAAGGACAACATTTGCTAGTCAACAGATGCTGAAATAAAACAAAGTAATTCTTCTGTTGTATTTCCTACCTGATTTTCTTAAGAGTGAGAGAAAAAAAAAAAAGACTACTCTGCCACTAAATTAGCTAATGCTCTGACAGCAGAAAAAGTAATTTTCCTCTCTGCATTTTACTTACCAACATATACAAGCTCCCTCTTCCTTTTGCTTTAGCCTGGAGCTTCCAATATGTAGAAACCTGGCTGCCTAGAATGAAACTTATACAGTTAATAAGAATTCAAGGCTGTCAGAAGAGAATTGGTTCTTTTATTTAACTACATAAGTYTGAAGCTCAGTTAGACATTGTTCAGAGTTCTGTACGTTTCAGTATGTATTTCACAATGCACGTGTTCAGAGACTTAACAGCAATACGAACACGGTAATTTCCAAACGAACATGGCATCTTTTTCTCAATGCTGTCATTTTCATGCCAGTTACTGGAGGCTTTACTTTATTATACTTTCTTTCTTACAATGTTCTAGTGGGTGGTTGTATTGGAAAAGAAAGTTGCAAAGAACAAGCAGTGTGAAAGGTATTGCTTATGATTTTACACAACACTCACAATTACATTTACTTACTATATAGACAACGTTGTTACAATAGATCTAGGCATTATTTTGGATACAAATAGAGCTATGTTTCTCATATCAGCACAGAGAAAAAAGAAAAAGGACTCCAAAGGGAAAGAAACTCCTTTACTGCCTAAACTGTACTACCCTAAAGGGTCTGCAACAGGATACTATATGCCACATCCTACTACAGCAGTTCTACCTTCATTAAAAACAGAAAGTTCAAGTATAATGCTTCAGACCACCATAGTAACTGGCAAAAAAATGACCACATACATGATGATGAGCAAAACATTTTATCTAGGTACATTTAACTGGCAATATTTCYGCACAGAAAAGTCCTAAATCTATTTATAAGGCACAAGAGACCAGAGCATCAGCTCCAGAGTCCTGTCTGACCGGACAGCCCTGGACATTGTCCCACTCTGCCCAGCTTGATCACCGCCGACCTGCTCACCGGCTGCCCTTTCCCTTCCCTTAATGGGAACGGGAACCAAGAATGAGGCTGGTCTGACCCTCAAATAGGCAAAAAGCCACTTATTTCTGTAGATTGAAGATAAAAAGAATGCAACATGAGACCAAAGCAACAAATAAAAAGGGCCCAAAGGGGACCACAGCATGGAGAACATTTGTAAGCCACATTTGCAATGTTAAAGGACTGGCATGGTGACCATTCCCTGCTGAATGCAGACCACCCAAAAGGCAGGCAAAGGATTGCAGTTAAAGTGAGAAAACATTTATTGCTTCTGTAACTTTACCACAGAGTTATCAGAGATCACTATAGGGAGTGAAATTGYGAAACATTTTAATGTTTCTGAAAACAGATATAGAGGAATTTTTTTCCCCAAATAGTATTAAACAACGTAACAGCAAGCAGTCTACACTAATCCCCTGCGTTGCAAAGCAAGCTGGTCATGTATTAGAGATTTAGCTGCTCTGGTGAAAAACTAAGTTAAAAAAAAAAAGAAGAATTTCACACAAAAAAATATGTGAACATTTGGACAGGTCAACCAATGTCCTTCACGGTGGCATCAGAACCTTACATAAAAACTGTTCCTAATTTTTTTCAAATATCCAGAGACAACCAAAAATAGAGACCAAACTCCATCATAACAAGCCTCTGGAACCACAGGGAAAATTAACTGCGATGACTAAGCAAACCTCATGCCAGCTATGAAAAATTTGGGACACCCTTTATCTATGATAATTTGAAAATAGTTATTATTAACACAGAAATCAAGTGATCAATTTCCTCCTTCTAAAATATAGAATTTGTCATATTAGCTGGTGACAAGCGTTTCATGAGGAACAGTCTCACCGGAGCCCAAGGATGTACAGACGCCCACAAGGAGTATTTCATGCTGAGTAGCAGCAGGACTAGGAGAACTAGGTGCAGGCTGCTGAGGAAGCGCTCAAGCAGCCATTCTGTCCACGTCCTCCACAGCACCCAGGTATTGATAAACCTGCAGAGAAAACAGCAACAGTGTTGAAACCACCAAGAGACACCACGGGCACTACTTGAGCAGAAAATAAATCAATGTGCATATGATTTTAGGGTCACAGGTTTGCTACTGTCACATGAATAGCATGATCAGAAATACCAAGATTCTTGTTTAAAGCTTAAACTCTTGTTTGGCATATATCGTGGTGAATGACATGATTTTATAGGCAACTTTCCAATATTTGTTCAGAGCTACACGCTTTAGTCTTCCCTTTTGATACCATCAACCTCCAAGGCAGGAGGCCCCACAACTGCCCTGGACAATGTGATTCAGTGAATCACCCTCACCAGGATCAGGCCTTTTCCTTCCCACTCTTGTCTTAGTGGTATCAGCCCTGCATTATTTTTATATTCTGTGTCTGATACTAATAGATTCAATTTATTAAATATGAAAGAAYGGAATACAACAGAGAAAATAATATGAGGAGTGTCCATGCTTTGCAGTTTTTAGGCTTACAATGAATTATTTTCATATAAATAAATGGCAGGTGGGGAACAACCTAGAGGAGATTTATATCCCTGCAAATGAGAAATCAAAGGGAATACATAAGCAACTGTCTGATTTTTTTTAACAATATTATATCATTTCATTATTTATGTTTGGCTGTGGTACATTTTGCCATTCTACAACTTTCACCCCATTTAAAGATAATTTAAAAAGCTGGAAAGTGCCAAATGGCAAATAACCACATATAGTCGCCCACGTACATATAAAATACCCAGATTTCCTTGTGAAATATGAAGTGACATTATAGTCCAGTCATAGTTCTCTTCTGGCTCACTTAAAACTTTCTTATTTATATAACTGTCTTACACAGCAGCAGTAACAGGTTCCACAAATGAGTAAGCACAAGGCTATCTAAATATTTATACTATTTTCTCTTTTTAGGATGGTATCATTCCACAGACAGGATCATGCAGCCATTTTAAATTGGATTTGCCTTTCTTCTCCAAAGGAGCTAGTCTATATACTAGCCAAAAACTCACAAAAGGCAGCGTCAGATCTGCAAACCAGTTACTTACAAGTGCTCTTGCTGCAGTTATTTGACAGCAGCTACAACAGGTAGGTTGTATCAGAATTTTCATTATAACACACAGGTTTCTAAAACTTGCACATTGGCCGATGCATATCATCTGTAGATTGCCTGAAGATTTAAGGAAAAAGTAGCATTAACACACACACACAGAGCTGAAAAATACTAGTTTTCACCATTTGGCCTGAAATTTCTCACTCCTGGCTTTGGTTTAGARCTGTTACCTGTGAGAAGATCCTTGTACGGAGATATGAATTTAGCTTTCTCTTCATTATTATGCTCACAGTATGACAGCTTATTTATAAGGTTATTTCCTGCTCATTCAACTTTCTGACATATCAAAGTTTTGAGATAATTGTGAAAATAGCCTCCTCAAACTTGGCTAAATCAAAGACAATCCAGAAGGATTCAAAGACTCTCCGCTCACAGCTGACTGCCCCTCACTAGAATATTAAGGCCTAGCTCATCCTATCCCCACCTTAATGACCCCCAAGCAGTTCTCATGTTTAGTAGTTTCCCTCACTTTGTTATTTTCTCACACTGCAAGAGATGCTAGTTCACCCTCAAATGCCACCTACACATCTTAGTCCTCATACTGCCAAGATTTACACTAGTGTATCTACCCGCACACATATTTACACTTAACTTTATAGTATTGTAGAGTAATTGAAAGCCCAAGGGATGGAGGCAGGTTACGCATGTGATCTCCCACCAGGGCATTGGGCTGAGCCCCTTTCTCCTATCCTCTTGGCACAACACTGGGAAGCTGCAAATCTTCAAACCCAAGAGGAGAASAGACAAAATCCCAAATCCTGGGTAAAAGGGCAGGATAAAAGTGTGTCCTGAGAGATCTCTGTAGGAGACTACGACTTGGAACGACATTAAATGTGTATCCTTGCCACAGCAGAGCACCTACTCACATGCCAAAGATAACTATCAGCGAGCGCTGGTAAAAGCTGGATCATACCATAGGTTGTATCAACATGTATTTTTGTTTTACTCTAATATTCTTACAAGCATTGAAATGTTTTTAATTCCTATTCTAAAAATATTAGCCTATCTCTTATTTTACGCAAATAATATTCAAATTCACACAAGCATTCAAATTGCATACAAGCTTTAAACTGCACTTCCTGGTGCCAAAAGCTCTAACTTAATTTCAGCTCTAACTCAGCGCTAACTCAAATGTCCTCCTTTATATTCAGACGCAAACTACCTCAGTAGCATATCTCTAACATCTACATTTTATATCATACCAATTTTCTTCTTACATTTGCACATCCGTCCACAGTCAGAAATGTTAAATAGCACTAGGTTTCACTGACCTAAAGCCAATCATCTGCATCACTGGGAGAAAAGTACTGGGAGGGGGATGGACAGGATGACGTAAAAGCTACTTCAAAGATGAACAAAACATATTAGTTTCTCACACTTTGGGGGAGATCTGCTAAATGGATTCTAGCTGGGAAGCCGGCAGAGCACAGAACCTGCTCAAAATAACTGTGAGATAGAGACCAAGCACACAAGGAAGTGGGAATCACCACTGTCCTATAGCTTAAGCTGTTTATGAGCCAAAGCACAAACTTGGGAGCAGCTGGAATAAATGCCAAGTTTAAGTTCATTGCACTGTATTTACAAAGCACCCAGGGCTCCAGCACCACCACGTGAGGGTGCTGCCCAGGGAGGGACAAGCTTTGAACATCTCTCTTCCTTGCCAGGAAATATCAGCAACAAGCAGGGCCATTATATGCTGGACTTTCCTAGCACGCCCAGAAAGGAAAGTTAGTTTGAAAAAGATGAGTTTTGCACTTAGATTGAGTTTCAGTTCATAAAATAAGGAAGAAGCGAACTCAACCATTGGTGCTGAATGAATGTCATGAGGAAAGAGGATATCTGGACTATGAAATCTATACATGTTCTTCTCTAGTGGGAAGGGAGGAAATCTCCTTTTCTTTGTATCCCTCTTTCATTAGTGGACAGTGCTCAAGCTTCAGTACAATGCAGTTGCTGTATAAATGTCCATATACAGAARGAAAGTGATTTAGCAGGAAACAGRGACAATTGCATGAAGACAGTGGGTATTAGGATGACATCCCTTAAGTCAATATTGTGTCCAGTGACAGCTTATTTTAATCAGATGACATACATACAAGAAATCCAAAAATCTAAGAAGGAAAAAAAAAAGGAAACTAAAGATTTTAATTTGTATAAATGACATTTAAATAATCTCAGCATTAAATTGATGAAATTAAATCATCCCTCAAAATAGATCAACTTCAATTAATTACACTCTTTTAAAAAATCCAGAAAAAAAAACTCCTCTAGCTATCAGTAGCTTGTATCCACTGGCAGTTATTTGATCGCTTTCTTGGCTGAGACACTGGGAACTTCACAGACACCCACTAGCTGCCGAGTGTCTCATGCAGCTCTTCTGAAACTGCATTTTCATGCCTGTTCCCTCCAAGGGAGGGATGAATTCCCCTACCTGCTCCATCACTGGTCGTATTCATTTCACTGGCAATAACTGTGCTTAAGCTGGACTAACAGCCTTTCCCAGGAGCAATGCCTGCTGTTGAGTCAGCCAGTAGACTAAATTCCTCTCTTATTTTAGAAACCTTGTAAGATGGCACAGTACTTGCAATTGCACCCAGAAGTCTGCATTTATATATAGCAATAACACTATTGCACTGACTTCTCACTATTAATTTATATACAAATAAGACCTTTTTCACAACGTGGGCTTGTTTAAGAATGTATCACGGCACCCTTGACAAAACTGGAATCAACTGTTAATTAGCATCCCATTTAACGGAGATGAAAGCCAAAGCATTCTGACTAAGAGGATGCTGCACAAAGCATTCTACTGCTCTCGTATTTTCCTCTGATAAAAATTACATTAAACTATATATAACTGCATCAAATGGAATATTTAAGCATTTTAAGTCAAGTATTTTATGCTTTAGTAATTCATTTAATTATTTTCTCTAGAGAGCAAATAGTATAATATCATCCAATTCAAGGGGAGTTATATGAATAAATCTGCAGGCATTAAGACAGAAACAGATACCCAAGAGCCTGGCTTAAACAAATAAAAGCATGAGGAAGTAGTGGACAGGGTGCTGCTCCAGGCTTACTTCACATCACTGTACATGCAGCAGGTACATAAGCATCCTGGAGACCTACCTGCTTACAGTTAGTAAAAACCATCACTCAGACTTTCACAACTTCATAAAAAATAAAGAGCTATATATCCATGCTTCATACCCATTTAATATGTTCCTGCTAGTCCTCTTGCCTCACACCAATCATACTCTAAAGAATGTGAGTTATTCAGGACACACTGTGTTTCTACACGGTCACTACAATCTCTGAAATCAGGCGAGAACGAATCAGTAAAAAGAGTGAAATCGCATAAACAAGAAACTCCACTAACAGTTCCCTGCACAAATAAATTCGTGTGTCACTACTCTCATTTCCAATACTACTACATCAACTGAAGCTGCTTCTCTCTTTAAAATATTTTCTGCACTGCAGCCTATTTTTATCGCTCTGAATTTGATATGGGGAATATTATATCTGCAATCAATGAATGCAGACAGAAATGGAGATGGGAAGGAAACACAAAATATGCAGAGAAGGCACAGAGAAAGGGAGTATAATACTATTACAGACCCAAACAGGGAACCCAGTTTCTGTTAATTTGCATGTCTGTATTTTATTTTATACAATACTATAATTTTCTTCTATCGATAAACAGTAGCTGGAAGGAGGGTAAGAATTTGTAAATCCAAGAAATCGAACAAGAGACAGACTCAAAGCTGCCAAAGGAAAAGAGGTTCAAAATCTGAGGTGAGCCTGATCCAAGCCGCCCCTGCGCCAAGAGGCTGGGTGGCAGCCAGGCAGCTCCATCTTCAGCCCTCAAACTTTATAGCAGCTATGCTAAAATCCAGATCACAGCGTGAGTCAGAGCAGCATTAACATCAAACAGAATTCAAGTAAGAGCCTCGCTCTAGTTCCTGTGCTGCTAACAACTTTCTTGGTGAACTGTGCTGACAGCTAGGAGTAACACAAAAGCAGAAACAAGCATCCCTGCTTTCATTTTGCTTAGGAATTTCCCCACACCTGGGCTTGGAGAGAAGCCTGCAGTAGGTATGGGAGCTGACTGTTCCCTACATGTTTTTCCTGCACAAGTTGAGCCAACAGCCACTCTGTCTGTCTTTTCTGTGCTGCTGCTGGATAAAAGACTTGAAAGAGCTAACTAAATATTACATATTTTATCATTAACCCATTAACAATATCCAAACAGCACCAATTCTTGGCTGCATTCCACAAGCTGAATATTTCTGATTATTTTGAGAAAAATATCCAGCTGCTAGCTAGTGAATCACCATAACAAAATGTTCATTTCTCTGAAGTTATCCATCAACGTAGGCAGTGCATGGTTTTGCATTTCCAGTCACATGCCCCATTTGACTTGGTCATTTTGACATAATTTCTGACTTGATGCTAGGTTGTCGCAACAGCTCTCTCAAGTCTTGGAAAACTACCTCCCTGGACAAAAAAAAACAAATAAATTAATCATCTCTTTTGCTCCTTATTGCCCATAATTATTCTAATACCCGTTTGCACTGCTGCTACTAAACAAGCAGTTCAAAATGTTCCTGTCCATTTGCAAATACGTGATTTCATCTTTTTGACTGCTGCGAGTACAGATTTTGGTCCCTGATTGTGCTTTTATTCTTTTCACAACCATCACTCTACTATGAACACAAAGGCAATCATAAAAACACTAATTTCAGCCCTCCCCTTTGTCAGTCCTTGTAATGTTGCCATTGTGCACTGACAGTTATAGCTCTTATCTCTCCTTTATCATTTACAATATCCTTTTTGCCTGAAGAGCAAAATAGGGGAAACAGAAAGACCTAAACTCATTACACTCCCCAGAATGCAGTTAAGGTCTCACAGTAACGSAGCACTGCTCCTGAAATGTTACAGGACTTGTAGGAAAGCTGCATCCCCCGTCCCTTAGAGATCAGTGCAYGTTTTGAAGAATTCAGAAATTTTATGAGATAGAGTAACCATCTGTTCTGCAAACTGGTGGARGAAGGGGA